TGTTCATCCAGCTCTACACCTTGTTATCTCATTATACCCTTGAGTTTTGACTGAGGTCTCTGGATGTTCTATAATCTAACCAGGTGCTTCCTTGCTTTCTGCATAATTCATATCCCACTACAAATGATGTGATTGGACAGTGTGTATGCAGTTGCTGCTTATTTGTAATTGAAATTGATGTTTTTATTTGCATAATTGCTGGTTTAAATTTAATGACATCATACAAATAGTAATTGTAATAATGAGAAACCATTGTAGAATTAGGCAACTCTGTTTTGACATTTGCCTTCTGTGACAAGAGTCTAACATTCTGTTACAATTGTAAAGATTTTGTCTATTTGATGCTTTCAGACAGTTAGTCACCTGTGACATTTCCTGCTTTACAAACCAGTGATGTGTATCTAAACAACTTAATTGTCTCTCAAATTCTTGCCCTGTGAAAACTGTAAGCAGCTGATGCTATGCAATTCCTCTCCAATGTTAATCGACAGGTAGCAGTTGTTTGTCCTTGCCAGGTCATTGGCTGGCTGTGGAGAGGACCCAGCTCTCCCAAGCAGAGCTTTTGTAGGAACAGCATGCCTGCCTGACCTAAAGGGCATGTTGTCTCGGAGGCACTGCAGTTGATGGGATAGTTCAGCTTGTTCCAGGCATTTCATATTATGGTTCAAAAGAATGCTTCTAGTCTGCCCTCTGCTTAAGCATTTCATGGGCAATGGAGCAGGAAAGGATATCAAAGAACAGCTTATGGATGGCTTTGTTTCTTTTGGCTGTTCAGTTGCTGTGGGAGTATTTGAACCGAGTAGTTCAGCTGATGTGGCTAGACAGTTGAAATGGAAAGAGATGAAAAATATTTGTTTAAAATTTATCAAATGTTATCATGTCTGCCAGATGCTAGGATCAAATCCAAATCAAGAGGAAATCTTGAGAGAAGGTATTTTGAACAGCTGCTGAGAGTGCTAAGATGAGAATGAACCACCTCAATTCAGTTCCCAGTGGCACAAAAAGTACCATCACAATTTAAAATTCATGGATGAGGGAGTCAATGCTAGATTAGAAAAGAATCACAGAAACCAGATAAAATATCCCCAACTCCACGTGCAAACAGTCTAATCATAGTTGTTCAGAGTGGCAATGTTGTTCCAAAACAATGATATGGTTATAATTAAATTTTTCTGTGGTATTTCAAATCTTCATTTTCATTAACGTCTTCTTTCCCTTGTTCATAACTTGCTTCCCTATACCCTTTAATTTTGAAGGTACTAATTCACGCTTGGATATGGTTCCATCTGTACCAGCTGGCTGTTGAGTTGCTGACTGAACTGGCTCCTTTCCCTGAAAGAACCTGTAAAATGCATATGCGATTAATTTACACTTGTGCAAGTATCACAGCTCAGGCAGCGACCTGTCCTGTGCTGACCTTTGTAGATGTACATTTCCAGATAGGATTAAGCGCACTATCTAGGTAAATATCATTGAGTAATATGGTTTGCTATACAGTTTGGCAATGCTGATGCCTGTTATAATAACCCTATTATCAACCTCTGATAAAGGATTGAACTAGATATTTTACTGCTGTAACAAGATTTTCAAAAAGTTACAAACTCTAGTTCTTGACATAAAATTAAAAAGTGCACTGATGTGAACATTTTTCGTCGGTGCAATTTTAATGAAATGTCTATTTGGTTGGAATGAGGCCTCCAGAGGTCCCAGACATCAGTCTTCAACCAGTACGTTTTATTCCATGTCATTTTAAGAAATGGCAGAACACAGTAGATATTACAAAGGCTATGGGCTCTATCAATATTCTGACAGTAGTAGTGAAGACTTGTGCCTGTACCATGAACAAACCTGTACACCGACATCAAAAATCATCTATGTATGTACTGTGCCTAAAAAGCAGGATAAATCCAATCTGGCCAATTACCAAATTATCAGTTTACTCTTGATCATCGGCAAAGTGATGGAAAAGAGTCATTGAAAATGTTATCAAATGGGATTTGCAAGGGAATAACCAGTTCACTAATGAGATGACAAGGTGTAGAGCTGGATGAACACAGCAGGCCAAGCAGCATCAGAGGAGCAGGAAAGCTGACGTTTTGGGCCTGGACCCTTCTTCAGAAAATGTTCACTAATGCTCAGTTTTACTTCTGCTAGAGCTCCTGACGTCATTACAGCCTTTGTTCATGAACGTACAAAGGGGATGAACTTCAGAGGTGTGGGAAGAGTGATAACCCTTGCCGTCAAGGTCACACTTGACTGAGTATGGCATCAAGGAGCCCTAGCAAAACCGGTTTTGCTACTGGTTGAAGTCATAACTAATGCAGGAGGTGATGGTTCTGGTTCTTGGATGGTCAATTTTCTCAGCTCCAGGACAAAACTGAGGGTAGTATCCTCAGCCCAACCATCTTTACCTGCTTTATCAATGGTGTTCCAACCATCCTGAAGTCAGATGTGGGGACGTTTGCTGCTAAATGATTGATTGTACAATATTGAGCACCGTTCACAATGACTCATACACTGAAGCAGTCTATGTTCATATGCAGCAAGATCTGGACAAGACCCAGGCTTGAGCTGATAAGTAGCAAGTAGTATTCTAGATATATCAGGCAATAACCATCTTCAATAGGAGAGATTAACTATCTTCCAAGAGCAACAGATGCATGTGAACACCACCATCATGTTCTCCTCCAAGTTACACGCCATCGTAACTTGACATAATATTGCTGTTCCTTCACTGTCACTGATCAAGATCCTGAAATACCCTTCTGAACAACAATGTGGGTGCTCGTACACCCGGGGATTGCAGTGTTTCAAGAAGGCAGCTCACCATCACCTCTAGGGCAATAAATCCTGGGCTAGCCAGAAATGCTCTCATTCCCTTGAATGAATAATCAGAAAAAAATACATTGTCATACCACCTATAAAAATAGTTTTGGAACTCAAAGTCACACTTGCTATAATAAGTTACTGGAGGTCCTCTTAGACTGATCCTTGACTCCCTTGAGTATTATAGGTTTTCTTTAATTGTTCATAGGTGTCGCTGCCTAGGCCACTACTTATTTTCCATCCCCAATTACTCTGTAGAATATATATAATCAAATTAAATTTACAAATCTAAATTGACTGGTATGAGTAACTAAAACTTTATTTCCATATTATAGCTGGTAGCACAACACAGAACCTTGTACATTTTCTGTAAACTACTTTAAGAAAAGTCTAAATGTTTTAACTTTTTTTGGCAGCATTCGTATTTTACCACACCTGATACCCGGGAACTTCCTAGTATACCTGAAAATGTAAGTATGCATCTCTGGTGGTCAAATCTTCAGAAGATTATTTTAATTCTGTAATTGTATAATGTGTAAATTGCATATTGTGTAAATTTTGAAACTCTGTGTTGATTTATTCTTCGTGCTGTGTGTCATATACCAAGCACTGCTAAAAAGGAATTGGATTATTGCAGCAGACAGTTTTTCATGTTTGCACTATATCTTCAATTTATTAATTAGATCCATTTGTACAATTTTGTTATCTTTATTTATGACTTTGTAGCATGTAAGCATTTGCTATATAACTACTCTAAATATGGTATTAATTGAAAAGCTGGTCAAATATTGCAATGAGTTTTATATTAAAAATTGTATATTGATATTTTTCTTTGCAATTTAAAAAAAATCAAGTAATAGTATTTATGTTAAAATCTTAATGAGTATTCTTAAGGTTAAAGATAAGAATATTTTCTCCCAATCAATCCTTATGCTTTCAGAACTGGAGATAATGTTTTGCATAATCTGATCTACCTGATGCAATAGGCTAACTTGGAATAGATTGGGTCAGGATAGATTTAATTTTCAAACAGTGTGTGTGATCCCAGTGTAGGGAACAGGGAGCTGCCTTAAAAAAAAATGGTCTCCATGATTCATGCAGTTCCACTCGATGTGTTTACCGAAAGCAGCCTTATAGCATCCTCTTCTTATAATTGTATGTTATGAATTTGCAGCATTGAAATGCTGCAATCATGTCACAGGACCTGATTTATGGCTTAAAAGTCTCGATAAATTAAGGAGTTGTTGATTTCAACCATTACTTTTGTTTCATCAGTAGTCATTGCAGCTGATACAAAACAGCTGCTCATGGGAGTTTAAAGTGTTAGACCAATTTTACGCATGTGCACACGTATCCCACCTTGCGGTGGCCTTAACCACAATCCCAACCTTTTACAAAACCATTTTGAAGAAAGTTGCTGTCTAATGGTGCATGTATTTCGTTCATACTTTTGGCTTCCAAGCATATAACAGTGACTGATCGCAAACCATTTCATTGGGTGTGAAGTACTTTGGTATGTGATAGTGCCAGATACCAATATTGATGTCTTTCCTTCTCTTTTCCTTCTTCCCCTCTCTTGTATTTTCTTGCCTCCTGTTAGCCTCCCACACCTGCCTCCCATTACATTCATTCTCTTTTTCTTTTTAATTCTGAATTGACGCGAAAGCCATTTCTTTTCCTACAGAATATTAAACGACACTACTTGACTGCCAGCTGATCAGCTCCCGGTTGCTGACTTCTCAGGAACACTGAATTCTTTAATTTCATTGCTGCTGATGATGAGTAACACATGCCGAATATTTGTTTATCTTTAATATAAAAAGGAGCTGTCAAACTGTCAGCTGTTGTTAGATTGAAGATTGAGAGTAGTGTGAAGGGAGTAATGTAGCAGAGACATTAAGTATTTGGCAAATAGTAAACACTATTTCAGTAAAATGACGTTAATAACATTCAGTTTTTGTATACACTAGGTTCCTCTGAAGATGAATTGGTAGGGCTGAGTGGGATAATTGATATATTTACTTGCTTTTTGACAGAACCATTCAAAAAGGCACAATCACCCATAAATGGAAAGAATTGTTCAGATCAAATTCTACTTGGATGATGTTTAACTGTTTCAATCAAACATTTCAGTTTACGTGAAGAAAATAACTTCCCTTACTAATGAAGAATCATTTTATTTATTTGCTAGAGGTGTATTTGTTAAAAAATGATGAAATGACTAAAATGATGGTGGTTGTTGTTTGGATTATTTTCCTCCATTTAGCATTTTTCATTCCTTGCGTACAAATGTATTTTCATATGAAAAAAGTGCAAACATAGGAAAGAAACATTTTTGTTTGCTGAACTTAATGTGTGCATAAGTAGGCAGTACTGTAGTTGACTATGACTGTTCTTTGTCATCTCCACAGGAGTATTTTATTTTCCATTTGTTTTGCAGATATTATGACTGAAGCTGGAGGAATGAATGTCACTCTAATTCCTCTACTCCAGGGGTCAAAACACAAAATAAAAATACATATTCCAGTGTGAAGATGACCAATTAAATAACTGATCTATGTCAGGTTTTAAACAAAAACATCTATCAACTATGAGTTTATTATGAGTTTATTACCAAAACAAAACCTATGCAATGATTGGTTAACATACACAATTAATAATATAAAAGTATGAATTCTTAGCTCTATAAATGGATTCTGGGTAATCCAAATGGAGGATGGGAAAAAATTGTGGCTGTAAGACCTTTTTTCAGGTATTTTCAGTGTTGGAGCTGATTTCCTTTAATTCTAAGAGCAGTAATTACTGTTTTATAAGCTGTTGCATTGTTTTGGAGCTTTGGAAATAAAAGATCAAAACAACAGTGCTTTGAAAAGGAGGAAGAGAGACAAAACAGCAAACACATAGGAGGTGGGAGAAGTAAACCCGCACAGCTGACACACTAGGCAGTAACCTGTACTGCTGACTGCCTCTGCTGTTTGGTTTGAAGTATCCCTGACATTGGAGTTTGTTCTAAGGAAAATAAACAAACAGTGAAATTCACAGCTAACCTTGGATAAACCTGGGGAGCTCATAGCAGCGCAACAGTTAAGTGGCTAGTCTTAAAGTGTAACCTTACTTTTTTTTTGTAAGTCTACAATAGTGGGTAGAGTGAGTTCTTTTTTTGAATATTTTAATATGTTTTATTGAGATCTGTCTCTTGACTAAACTTTAAAAATATAAAAATAGCTACTAAGTTAGCCTGGAGCAGAGTTTTTAGAGCAGTAAGACTGTGTTATTTTCTGGGTCTGTAGATTGTTAAGGTGCAAAGATGGCCCTTGCTAAGTGATGTTCTCTTCCTGTTGGATGTGGGAGATTAGGGAGAGTTTCCAGGTCACTGATGATTATGTCTGCAGGAAGTGTGATTGGTTGCAAATCCTACTGGATTGCATGGATCAATTTGAGTGGCAATTAGAGGCAATGAGAAATTTACAGGAGCTGGGGGTGTGATGGATGGCAATTGTAGGAAGGTAGAGAAACCGCAGGTACAGTCAGGTGGATGGGTTACCTCCAAGAAAGATAGCAGAGGGAGGCAGGTAGTGCAGGAGTCTCCTGTGGCTATCCCCATCTCAAGCAAGTATACTGTTGTGGAAATTAGGTGGTGAGGGACTCTCGGGAATGTAGCACTAGCAGCCAGGTTTCTGACACCAAGACTGGCTCTAATGTAATGTGGGGTGCATCAGGTTCCAAGTGATGATAGGGGTCTCTCTAGTCAGAGGCACGGACGGACATCTCTGCGGCCAACAGCGAGACATCAAAATGGTGTGTTGCCTCCGTAGTGCCAGGTTCAAGGATATCTTGGAGAGGCTGAAGAATATTCTTAAAGGGGAGAGGGACCAGCAGGAAGTTATTGTACACATTGGAACTAACGACATAGAAAGAGAAAAGGACAAGATTCTGAGGACAGAATATGGGAAGTTAGGCAGGAATTTAAAAAGGAGGTCCTCGGGGTAGTATTAGCTGGATTACTCTCGCAGGCTAGTGAGGGTAGGAACAGGAGGATTAAGCAGATGAATGTGTGGCTGAGCATGCGGTGCAGGGGAGAAGGATTCACATTTTTGGATCATTGGAATCTCTTCTGGGGTAGGAGTGATCTGTATAAGAAGGATGGATTGAACCTGAATTGGAAGGGGACTAATATACTGATGGGGACGTTTGCTAGAGCTGCTCAGGAGGATTTAAACTAGTGTCTTGGGAGTGGGGGGTGGTGCTGGGGGTCGTGGGGGTGCAGGGCAGGAAGACAGTGAGTAAAGAGATCAGTCTGAAACTCATGCATTTGGGAAAAGGAGCAAGTCAAACAGTCAGGGCAGGCAGGAACAAAGCAGAGAACAAGGTAGGACTGATAAATTAAACTGCGTTTATTTCAATTCAAGAGGCCTAACAGGCAATGCAGATGAACTGAGGGCGTGGCTGGCAACATGGGAGTGGGATATTATAGTAATTACAGAGATGTAGCTCAGGAATATTTAGGACTGGCGGCTTAATGTTCCAGGGTATAGGAAGGATAGAAAGGGGTGGGCAAGAGACGAAGGGGAGTGGCATGTTTTGATTAGAGATAACAACACAGCTGTACTTGAGGATATTCATGGGACTATGTCAGGGAAGTTATTTGGGTGAAACTGAGTAATATTGGGATAGTACTGTAGAACCCCACCCCCCCCAAAAAAAAAAATTGTCAGCAGGAAATTGAGAAACAAATTTGTAAGGAGATGTCAGTTATCTGTAAGAATATTAGTGTGGTTATGGTAGGAGATTTTAACTTCCCAAACGTAGTCTGGAACTGCCATAGTGTTAAGAGTTGGACGGAGTGGAATTTGTGTGTACTAGAAAGTTTTCTGATTCAGTATGTGGATGCACCTACTAGAGAAGGTGCAAAACTTGACCTACTTTGGGGAATAAGGCAGGGCAGGTGACTGAGATGTCAGTGGGGGAGCACTTTGGGGCCAGTGACCATAATTCTATTAGTTTTAAAATAGTGATGGAAAAGGATAGTCCAGATCTAAAAGCTAAAGTTCTTAATTGGAGGAAGGCCAATTTTGACAGGATTAGGCAAGAACTTTCAAAAGTTGATTGGGGGGACGGATGTTTGCAGGTAGAGGGAACGCTAGAAGATGAGAAGCCTCCAAACATGAGAAAACGAGAGTCCAGAGACAATACGTTCCTGTTAGTGTGAAGGGAGCTGTAGGGAATGCTGGATGACTAGAGAAATTGATGTTTTGGTCAAGGAAATGAAGGAAGCTCATGTCCGGTATAGACAGCAGAGATCGAGTGAATCCCTAGAAGAGTATAAAGGCAGTAGGAATATACTTAAGATGGAAAGCAAGAGGGCAAAAGGGGATATGAGATAGCTTGGACAAATTGGGTTAAGAAGAATCCAAAGGGATTCTACAAAGACGTTAAGGACAAATGAGTAACTAGGGAGAGAGCAGGACCC